GATAAAGAAGATGTGGTCCATATATACAATGGAATATTACTCAGCCATAAAAAGAATGAAATAATGCCATTTGCAGCAACATGGATGGACCTGGAGATTATCATACTAAGTAAGTCAGAAAGAGAAAGACAAATACCATATGATATCATTCATGTGTGGAATCTAAAGTACGACACAAATCAACATGTCTAAGAAACAAACAGACTCACAGACATAGAGAACAGACTTGTGGTTGCCAAGGGGGAGGTGGGGTGGGGGAGGGATGCACTGGGAGTTCGGGGTTAGCAGAGGCAAACTATTATATACAGGATGGATAAACAACAAGGTCCTACTGTATAGCACAGGAAACTATATTCAATATCCTGTGACAAAACAATGGAAAAGCATATGAAAAAGAATATATATATATATATGTATATGTATAACTGAGTCACTTTGCTGTATGGAAGAAATTAACACAACATTGTAAATCAACTATACTTCAATAAAATAAAGAAAATAAAATTTTTAAGATTTTAGCTGCGCTTCCATTCAACATTCAAGTAATAAAAATAATATACCCTACTGCAATTTTAAACACTCATTTATGACAGCGCTTTACCAGACCTTTACATGAATTGGGAAGCACTATCTACATTTTGCTGGTATGAAATCTTAGAGAGGCGAAATGCCCAGCTTAGGTCACATAAAGAGGAAATGGCGTAGGAGGAAACTTTGCACCCATTCGTCTCAGCCCAGTTTAACCAAATGATTCTCTGTGATTGAGGTAAGATGATTGGAAGAAGTAACTTTCTTAGCTGGAGTCTGGAAGCATGAGATTCAGTAGAACCTCTATTTTTACTTTTACATCACAACAAATGTGGTTTCACATATGCAAATTTCACTTGGGTGTATGCACTAGAATTTCCTTTTTCTGGGTCTCTCAGCCGTCCTCTGTGGTAGGACGAAAAGAACTGGAGACCAGTGACCATGGAGCACACCCTTCGGGGTAGCCTGGACAATGAACCTGCTGGAAGTGCTCCCCAGTTCTCTCCGTCAGGGAGGCTGCACTCAAGTCAGCCTCCTGCAGGGGCCCTGGCTTCCTTCCTGCTCCTGCGGGACTACCAGACAATGCAGTAAAGAGCTGGCCCTATGCCCAGCTGGCCTGGTGCCCTCAGCATCTGATTCCTCCACTGACAAAATTGCTCTCATTCTTGCCCTATGAGAAGAGAGAGAAGCCAGGGGTTCTTTGGAACACTGTGCTCAGCACAAGAGCCTGGGCCCAGCATCTCTCTGTGAGGGTTGATAGGGTTGGTGGACCTGGACCTTCTCTCCTCTTGATGGTCTCTGATTTGTAAGTTTCTCTGATAAAGGCTGCTCCGTATCACTGCCACGTGGTATTCTAGAATTCGACTTGAGCCCTGTGGCACAGCAGGTCGAGAACGCAAAGGCACCTCTTTCCACAGTCTGCTTTCACTTCTTAAGGTTCATTTGGAGCCATTAAGAATTGCAATGAGAATTACATAATTAAGAATTGCAAATAGGTATGCATCCGCACTGTACAATTCACAGAATATTTTCCTATTCCACATTCTATTTAACTCTCACAAAAATCTACCAGTCCAGATTTATTTTTATCATACAGACGACAAATCTAAGTCTCAGACTGGTTAGAAACCTGCCCCCAAAGTGGCAAACCTTGGCCTGGACGTAAAGTCTTCTGTCTCCAAGTCCAGGTCTCTCTCTACTGCTCCTGGGAACTTTGGAACACACCTCCAGAAACGAAACAATCATTCTAAAATATTGAAAGCATCCACAGAACAGGTCTTTGCCAGGTGCTGGTGAATTCAAAGCCCCGTAAGACATCACCAAAAACTTCTTTTCTTGTGCCAACTAGGGAAGATCATTTTAATAGCTATTTATTGTAAACATATTTATTATACTTTTCAGCTTGCTCAAAATATAGTGCCCCTATCATGAGACATTACACAGACTTCACAGAAGCGAAGGGGTGAGGATGTCTCGGCTGCTACTCGGCTGGAAGGGAACAAGACAGCAGCACTGTCCAAGTCCCCAGGGAACTGTGAAAAGCTATAATCCTGTCAAGAGCTTGCTAGACGGGTGCGTCTGGGAGTGAGGCCGAACAGACCTGTCTACACCGTCTTCCCATCTGTGACTTGAATTCAGGTGTGTTCTTGGAAATACACTGCTCTGAAGCCTGTATGTTTAATCAGTAATCCCATTAATGGTGCCCCTCTGGGTTTAGACATGGTGTTATGCTGGAGCCTCAAATTTAATATTTTCAAAGCTGAACTCATCACCTACCCCCTCAGATTGCTATTTCCTAGCCTGATAAGGAATTTAACCATTTCTAGGTGCCCAGTGGGGAGCCTACCCAGACTCCTCTCTTTCTTCTCACATAGTCATAACTATCAAGTGCTGTAGGTACCACTTCCCAAATATCTTACATATATTCCCTTTTCCACGGTCTTGCCCTTGATGCCTTTCTTTTTATATATATATACATATATATGTATGTGTATATGTGTGTGTGTGTATATATATATATATATATATATATATATATTTATGGCTGTGCCGGGTGGCACATGGGATCTTTGTTGCAGCATGTGGGATCTTTTAGTTGTGGCATGAAGACTTCTTAGTTGCAGCATGCAGACTTCTTAGTTGTGCCATGTGAACTCTTAGTTGTGGCATGCATGCGGGATCTAGTTCCCTGACCAGAGATTGAACCCAGGCCCCTGCACTGGGAGCGTGAAGTCTTACTCACTGGACCACCAGCGATGCCTTTCAAGGACTATGTTGACATCCTTTGCTGACTGTTTTCCTCCCCTCCCGCCGCCATCCCTATCAAGGTTTCCTCCACGGGGCTCGCTGCCAATAAATGCAAACTCCTACCACTCCCTGCAAAGAATGGCAGCTCTAATGTTATCCTGCCCAGGTGCTCAGCCTTACTGTGCTTTCTCCCTTCTTCTCCACATCACATTCCAGATCTACTGCACTGACAGTTCCCCAAACCGACTGTCCTTACTCATGCTCCTCCTCCAAGTCAATCATGCAAGGAAGAGTGTGCCTGACAAACTCTTACTTCTCTCTCAAGCATCCCTGTCTTGTAAGGATTTTCCTAACTCCCCCCAGCTCTCCCTCAGTTGGACTTTAAATTTTCTTGCACTGGCTTTGTTGTATCCTGCAATGTCTTCTTCAGAGCACTGCTTGTTTTATGGCATCTATTTGTGTGTGTGTTTTCTTCCTAACTAGTTTTTGAGTAACTTGAGGACAAAGAGCATGTTCTATTTGTCACTGTATCCCTAGCACTTGGAATGATGCCTGACAAAAATGAATTTCACTTGGATGCACACACAAGATTTCCCTTTTCCTTCTGAACATGTCAACTCTCTTCTGTGGTAGTACAAAAAGAATTGAACAGTCTGGGTTCCCTGGACAATGAACCATCTGGGACAGTGCTCTCATTTCTGGTCAGAGAGGCTGCACTCAAAGTCTGCTTCCCGAAGGGGGTGTGAGTCAAAGCTGAACAGAGAAATGAATCTGAGAGAGCCCACGGAACTTGCTTAAGGACCCACAACTAGTAAGAAGTGACAGGAACATAAGTCAGGGCAGGGGTTCTTGTTATTGCCATTCTCTGTTTTATTTGCAGTACCTACAAGACTCCCTGGCACATTAGAGCTCCATCGATATTTGCTGAGTAAATGACTGACAGAATGAAGGACGAACTGACTGACTGAGTGAAAGGTTATCTTCAAAGCCCAGGTCCTTCTGATTTCATTCTCCTGACTTTTAGTTTGTATACTGGGTATGAATGTGTGTGTGTGCGTGCGTGTAGATACACCTTTCAAACAAAATTAAAAAGTGAGATCATGATTTCCTCTTTACGATAAAACATAATTAAAGAATAATGATAACTATTTATACACACACACACACAAATTCTAGGCCACTGAAACGTTCAGCCTTGGTAATTCATTTCATTTACTAAAAGAAAAATGGCTTTTGGAAATTAAGCATCCAACCTGACAATCATATAACTTTACACTCAGAATTAGTTTTCAGTAAACTGGTAGGATGACCTTGTCTTGTAAATTATCCCAAATGGTGTAAAACAGAGGCGACAAGAGTAAATTGTGGTTGGTCAGGTGAGGAAATGTAGGACTTTGCTCTCTGCTGCCGCCCAGAGGCGGGAATGTAGCACAGCCGGCTTCTCCATGTGTCAGAAAACCAGAAGCAGGTGCAGGATGTGTGCGTCTGGGAAGAACCGCACTCAAGTTTATATTCTTCCTCTCCAACTTCTGGGGCGTTTTTCTTATGCAATGACAGCTGATTTATCTTTATCTATTACTGACACAGAACCAGCCATTCACCGTGAAGCAGGACAAAAGCCAGCAGAGGGATGAAAGAAACCCAAAATAGATCTTCCTTGAACTGATTTGTATCAGAGTTATAAACAGTTCAAGGCATAACAGAAAAGTAGACCGGTAAGCACTGCTGCTGAAACCGAGAGCAAAGCACAATTTTTTCCCTTTCTTTTTCCCCTTCATTTTTTTTTTTTTTTTCTCATCCAGCTACTCAAAGCAAACATTGCAGGAGGTGGAAGCACTCACCATAGGAGGCTGTTTGCAGAGAACGCTCTCACACGCCTGCACACGGGCTCCCTGCCCGCGGCCACCCCCTCTATTGTCACAAAGCACATTTTATAATGCAAATCACTGTCTACTACATGGCTCATTATTTCCCTCTCTGAATAAAATATGAACACATCAATTATGTGTTCTTCTATTCTAAATGCCTACCCTTGTAGCACTGACCTCTTTCCGCTCTTATATTTTTCAGAACGTCCCTGACATTTGCCAACTGGGTTAGCTCTAAACCTTTCTAACCTATTATCTTATTACTTTAGCACTTTTCACACTTTCTCTTCCATCTAATTAGCGTGACCTACAGGCATGCCAGGAGGGCGAGCTCGCACGCTAGCCCCCCGCACTCACCACTGCTTGTAATCCGCGTCACAGTTGCAGTAGTATTTGGGGTCCGTGCAGTTGCGCTCGATGCCGCAGGCGCATTTCTGAATTCCGGGCCCGGAGCCGCCCCAGTAGTAGTGCTTCTCGTTGGCTTTGCCCACCCACCAGGTGTAAGGGCTTCCATCTACAAGAAAGGGGAAAGGCACACTGAAGTAGGACCAGGACCCAGTCGCTATCGTGTCACACTTACATCCCCCCAACCCAGGAGCAGCATCTCTCTCTGATAGACTGAACATCATTCAACCCTCTTAGAAGTCAATGAAATTCAATAACAGGAATATTTAATAAAAAAGTATCAGAGGGATTGGTAAGCTCGAGTTTTCCCACCGGGGTATGCACCTCTTCCTTTGAAAGACACGTTTACGTGCAAGCTGCAGGAATTTAGGAGCCTGTTCTGTAAACTGGCTGCCCAGATGGGGCACATCCACAATGAAGGTGCGTAGGCCATGCACCAATTCTTTAATATACAACTCTGTTCATGGCTAGTTGTGTTTTTTCTGTGAAATGACAGTCATGGAGATGACAGAATATTAGAGCTAAACATGGACTATGCCTTGGTATGATCTCTCCTTATTTTACAGGTAAGCAACTGAGGTCCAGAAAGGTTACACAATCCTTTCAATTACACAGCAGACTGGCTCCCAAACCAGAAGTTTGACACTGTATCTCACAAGACATTTCACAATGCTCTTTATACAATATTACTTTGCTTTATTATTTGGCCTAATATTCACCCATTCATTCATTCACTCATCTAATCATCAAACATCCACTGTGTTTCCATTATGTGTCAAACATTACAAGAAACTCAGCAGAATAATGGAGAGAAAAGATACAGATTGAGAGTTCAGTTCAATTATTATTATGAACACACAGGAGAGTGGGTAAGGGAAAGAAGGTCCGGAAGGAGGGTTTCCTAGAAGAGGTAACATATTTGAGCTATGTCTTGAAGGTTAAGTTACCCAGGTGAATAAGGAGGTAAGAAAGATAAGGGCTCCTACGTAAAGGAAGCAGATGGTAAAGTTCTATATGGAACACTCAAGTAGGAGTGTACCCATCGATGGTACAATAGGGCTGAAGAGATATGTTTGAGAGGGTAGCAGGAGTAGGTCACAATAGAGAGTGGGTAAGGGTCATAGCACAACAAACTTTGTCCAAATAAGAAGTTATTTTGCCTTGGTTTATTCTTGCTTTTCTGCGTTTACTTCTTCCTATTTAAGAAGGTTGAACTTCATTCTGAAACTAATGGGAAACCATTCAAGTATTTTAAGCAGGAGATTTTCAAGATCAAATTTGTGTTTTAAAGGAACTACAGTGAGATGAAAGACAGATTTCAGGGGGATGGAGTCATGGAGGCCAGATGTGATGCTCCTATGTTAATACAAAAGAGAAATAATAAGAGAGTAGTGGAAATGGAGACGAAGAGAAAGTGGAAAGAGAGTTAGGAGGTATAACCAGCTTGGGAATGTTGGGATTTAGGTGGGAAGATGGTGTGGAGATTAATCCTGGGTTTCTGGCTCAGGTGACTAAGAGGATGGTGATGTGCTTCAGCAAGATAGATCACAGGGAGGAAGATGAGAAATTTAGGGAATGTCAAAGAAAGGATGGTGAACCTGGTACACGAGGTGGGCAAATGGCTATCGAAGTCTGGATCTCAGGAGCATTCTCTGGGCTGAAAGTCCCATTTTAGGAACCATCAGGTAAATGACTGGTAGCAGGAGAGACATCACTGGAATCTTTTGGATTCCAACTGCATTTAGAGAACAGAAAGAGAGGGAGCTGGCCATTGTGGAGGTCAAGAAAGAAAATGGACAGAGAGGGTGGAGGAGAAACAAGCAAAGGATTTCCAGAAAAGCAGTGTGGTCGGCATTGTCAGATTTCATAGCAAAGTCCATGAAGATGAAGGTCTGGACTTTTAATTTGACAGCTAGACGGTCTTTGTTGAGAGGAGTTTCAGGCCCCAAGAACAGCTTCCCATGCAGGAAGCTGGGGAATGAATGGAATCTCACGGAGGCTGTGCGGCCAGTAAACCTGCACTTCACAATTAAAGTCTCCAGGCACGTGACTAAAATTCCATTCGAATAACTCACCAGCCCTTTCAGGATGTTAGGTGTACACTTGTCCCAGTATCTGTGCATGTGCTTGTGCTTAGCAATAAAAGGAGGAAAGATTCTTGCACTCAGTGAGCTATTGTGTGAACAGTCACAACATCTAAGCAAATAACACAATAAAGTAAGTGAGGGCCATACTGGAATTGTGTAAAAACTGCCGCTGTGCCTTCTCACATATGCCAATAGCTTTTGTTTTTGTTTTATGTAGAGATAGGCAATTTAAAGGTAGGCAACTGTACTGTGAGTTCAGGCTTGACATAATAAATGAGCAAATGCTCTGAACTTAGAAAGGAGTTATTCAGGTATTGTAATTCATACAAATTTCCAGATTTTCCAGTTGTGTTGACTTAATTTGGAAAAGTCACTATTTTTCCCTTCACAAGATGATTTATGGCACCTGAATGTTAAGAAATACATTAGAGCTGACCTGGCAAGCGGTACAGAGGGAGACGTCAGCACCCTGCTCTGAAGGGAGGAAGATGCCAGCTCTCTGAGATAAGGGTCCATTCTGAAACCTTGTCTCCCGCGTCTCTGGGGCCTGTCCCAGCAGATAGGGGGCTGTTTGCTTTCTACATTCAAGCTAATTTGCTTCTCGCTTCTCTTTCCAACAGGGTAAAGAGTAACACATCCAACTTCTGATGCTTTTTCCAATGTTGGAACCATGACCAATAATAAATTCTTGTTTCCTTTTGATGCAGTCAAGAGTTAAAAAAAAAAAAAAAAAGGCTTAAAATATTCCATTTACGGAAACTATAAAATCTGAACCAGGTCATTTGGTTAGTAAGCTGCACTAGGTCTCTGTGGATTCCATCTCTGGCCATGTTACAGGAAGAGGACAAAGGTGGATGGCGCCGTGCTTACCTTGCAAAGGCCCCTGGGGCCCTCCAGAAAATGACCGAGACTGGTTATCACATCTATTCACCACACTGCATCTTTTCAAGCTGACCTAATGCTAAATTCTTTCTCTCAAAAGAAATTTCAGTTACTATCACTGTTTTCGGAAATTAGGGGATACTAACACACCCGGTGGAGGGTAAGAAACAACCAGACACCCGCAGAACAGGAGTCAATGGGCTGCCTGGCAGGAAATGCCCTTGTTCTGCCCGTACGTCAAAAAGCCCATGAAAGAGTATGTATCTCAGAACCTCAGCTCAATTTCCGATTCTTTCTTCCAGCGGCCAGTAGAAACAACCTAACACTGTTATATTTTTGTCATAGAGAGTGATGATACATTGCATGAACCAGAGAAACTGTATGGCTCAGTATTCTTGATAAAAATCAGGACGACGGCAGTCAAGGGAGCAAGGTCATCAGCAGCAGCTCCCTCAGCAGGAGACTGAGAAACGCGCTGCAGTGGAGGAAGAGCCAGCTGATTCCCAACCACGCCTACAGGAGTACCAGGAAGCCCAGGAGAGGAAGACTCATTGTCAAGTTGTTTGGGCCGTGGGTGTTCCAGTAGAAGCCCTAAGCTCTGCATGGGGCCCAGGCTCTGAACTAACCTCACATGGCAGACCTCAGTTCCTAGAGGGAAGGACTCCTGTTAGACATCAGGATGGGATCTAAGAAGGTGATCTGCAGCGATGTTTCTTGTATTCAGTGCAAGAAGGAGACACGCTACTGGCCAGGTGAGAGTAGCTCAATTTCCCCATCCTTCCCCCATCCCCACCTTTTTCTCAAGTCACTCCTAGTCTTATATAACTAACGTTCCCAGTTAGGGTGAGGCAAAATCAATGTTATTTTGTTCTCCTTCCTAGGAGAATAAGTTAAGTGCAGTACAAAATGTTTTACTTAGTTGTTTCCTCATCTGCCAGGAACAGAAGAATGCCAATAAGAACAACACATTCCAGGGAAAAAGCAAGTTGTACCCTTTGCTATTAGTGTTGGCTCATTTAGTTAAATCAAATCATCATAATTTACTAATTTGGCATATATTTTATATTCAGCGAGAAGAGAATGGTTCAATCTGTATTGAGCAAAGAATTGCTTTTTTCCAGTGCTGTGCTGGCGAAGTGTTACTTTTTGCTTTACAAATCATTACTTACCTATTAATTGGCTTTGGGGAAAAGAAGTTAAAGGAGATAAAAATGGGAAGACTTTTTAAAAGACAAGATAAGGAGTGGTGAGAAAAGAAACAATTTAATTATCCAGTGCTAAGAGTTCAAGAATTTCTCTGATCTCAGAATATGAAGATTTTTGTTAACTATATTGAGTAGGTGTAATCACTGCAACGAGATTATGAAATGATAAACCACATTCTAGGTTAACTAGAAGCTGAATTATCAAAGTAAGTCATATTGTATTAAAACAGCCAAATATGGATTGAATTGAATGTAACCATGGCAGTTTGTACTCACTTAAGACCAAATTTTATTATGCTGAGGATTTATTATGGTTTGGATGACTAAACTGAAATAGCGAGAAAGAAAAGAGGCAACTTGTTGCTCCAAATTTAAAGAAACCAACAGATCTCTTATTTTCTCCAATAACAAGTTGTTTCAGAAACACAAGGTCAAATGCATGGGGACTTCTTGATGAAAATGTGGCACATACCTGTGACTTTCAAAATATGTTCTTTAGAACTTCTGGGCTACCCAAAGTAACCTAATAGTCTGCTTACATAAATATTATCCTGGCACATCTACGGTAAGACCCAGTATGGTCACTGGGACATTTAATTAGTTTCATTTCATCCACTTTTGCAGATAATAAAAAGCGTAATACCTAACATTAAATACTGCAAAGGTTTATCGTTTCCAAAATGTAAACTTAAAAGTATATTTTTAGCTTGATGAAACCTAGTCTTATTATATCTACCACTATCTCCTTATCTACAAATTGTGTTAAAGAATCACAGGTGGCTTTTTAGCAGAGGAACTAGAGCAGGTACAATTGCAGCAGGAACTTGCCTTTCAGGGCTCTGCTTAGCGCCCCCTGCTGACAGCTCCCATACAGCACTCTCCAGAATGCCATCTGGCCCATTCTGGCTGTTTGAAGGCCCCTACAGCGCAGGATC